TTTTATATGTTCCCAAATGCACAACATATTCAATTGTACAGATTTTTTAAGTTTAACGCCCAACGATAGGTTGGAACAAATAAGGAAAATGAATCGTTGTGTCAATTGTTTAAGAACTAATCATTTTGCTAAAAGTTGTTACACATTAACGCGTTGTAAACAATGTCATAAGAAGCACCACACGCTTTTGCACGCGGAAACAAACAATAACCCAACCGAAAATGAAATAAAAGATAAACCAGATGAGGATTCCGATAATGCTGAAGACACGTCAAAATGTAATTTAGCTATTACGTCTAGTGTACTTTTGTCCACCGCGTTGATTCACGTAAAGGGTCCGTCAGGGAAAGTAAAAGAATGTCGCGTGTTGTTGGACATCGGGAGTCAATCTCATTTTATCACCGAAGATTTGTGCAAGGCTTTAGAATTAAATATTAATAACATCAATATGTCAATCGTAGGTATCAACAGCGAGACGAGGCTTTCGAAATGTGCCGAGCTCGAAATAATTAGCCGAGTTTCCGAATTTCGTGCAGTGGTTAAGTGTTTAATTATTCCAAAAATTACCGATAATTTGCCCGCATTCAATTTTAATATAAACCACTTAAATTTGCCCAAAAATCTAAAATTGGCTGATCCGGAATTGCATGTTTCTGCAACTGTGGATATGTTAATTGGAGCAGAGTTATTTTTGCACTTGCTGACTAACGGTAAAATTCAATTGGGAAAAAATCAACCAGTGCTTCAGAATACAGTACTTGGATGGATTCTTGGCGGTACTTTGAGGGGCTTAGAAAATAATCCTTCCTGTTGTTATAAAATCAGTCTGGACGAGAGAATTTCTCGTTTCTGGGAAATTGAAACCGTTGAAGCCGCCGACAAACCTATTAAAAAGGATTCACAAAGTACGCTTTGTGAAACCCACTTTAAAGATACCACAGGCCGTTCACCCGATGGTCGCTTTGTGGTGAGACTCCCCTTTTCGAAGAATCCGCCGCAATTGGGAAATTCCAAAGAGGTGGCCCTAAAACGGCTATTGTCTATGGAGAGAAAGTTGGGTCGGGACCGTAAACTTAATGAGGGTTATACTTCCTTTATGAAGGAGTACTTGGCACTTGGACACATGGAGGTTGTAGAGGATGATTCATCCAGTAAATCCTTTTACCTGCCTCACAATTGCGTTGTAAATCCGAATAGCTCTTCCACTAAATTGCGCGTGGTTTTCGATGGTTCATGTCCTAGTTCAAACAACTTAAGTCTAAACGACAATTTATTAACAGGCCCCGTTTTACAACCCGAACTTTTTACCATATTAATTCAATTTCGCTTACCACAGTTCGTCATAACATGTGACATATCGAAGATGTACCGGTGCGTTTGGGTTCACCCCGACGACCGCAATTACCAAAAAATTGTGTGGCGAGAATCCACTGAACTTCCCATCCAAACGTACCGACTCAAAACAATAACGTATGGTCTAACGTCCTCGTCTTATCAGGCCATTAAATGTGTTCAGCAGTTAGGGTTCGATGAAAAAGCTTCTTTTCCTTTAGCACATAATGTAATAAACAATTGCTTTTATGTCGATGATGCATTGTTCGGTGCAAATTCAGTAAGCGAGTTAATCGAGACCAAAGACGAATTAAAGGCCGTTCTGGCAAAGGGAGGCTTCGAGTTAAGCAAATGGTCGTCTAATTATCCCAATATACAAGAATGCACTCAGCCTACATCGAGCGGTAAGCGCTTAATAACGGACAAACAACACAATAATAAAACTTTAGGTATCAGGTGGGATAACCAAAATGATTCGTTTTCCTATGCCGGTTTTAGTTTTTCGGTGACAAAGGTCACCAAACGATCTGTAATGAGCGCCATATCGCAATTATTTGATCCGCTTGGTTTGGTCAATCCGGTAGTAACAAAGGCTAAAATCATTATGCAACAGCTGTGGGCTTTGAAACTAAATTGGGACGACGAATTACCTGAACACATGCACAAAATATGGGTTGCTTTTGTGCACGAATTAGCGTTTCTAAACAATTTTCAATTTCCCAGACGGGTAATTTGTAAGGACCCTATCAAATTAGAAATGCACGGATTTTGCGATAGCTCACAGCAAGCTTACGGCGCGGCCATTTTTCTTAGATCCATCAATACTCAGTTAAATGTATCGGTACGGTTACTATGTGCAAAATCACGTGTTGCCCCGTTAAAGACAATCTCGCTACCCCGACTCGAATTATGTGGAGCGGTACTACTATCCAAACTTCTCTGCAAACTATCAAAAACGTTAAGCATTCTTCCAGAGAACTGTTATTGCTGGACCGACTCCCAAATAGTGTTATCCTGGTTAGCGGCGGAGCCTAGTAACTGGAAAACCTTTGTAGCAAATCGCGTATCCGAAATCCAGGACCTAACGAACGGTTGTACTTGGAATCACGTGAATAGTCGGGACAACCCAGCCGATATAATTACGCGCGGTGCTTATCCAAGAGAATTAGCGAAACATCAATTATGGTCAAGTGGACCATCTTGGCTTTATCAATTGGAAATCAAAACCTCTAGGGAACACGAAAAAAGTCTAGCCCAAACAGAGGCATCGCTTGAAAAACGCACTGTTGTCGCGGTAAACCTGCAACGGAACAAAGACGCTACGGTCATTTTCACTCTTTTTTCCACTTTCTCGAAACTGAAAACTTTTGTAGCCTGTTGGAAGCGTGTTATTAAAAACTTGCAGAATCGCGTAAAGAAACAACCTGAAGTTACTGGCAATTTGACATTAGGAGAATTAAAAGAAGCCACTACCTCCATAATCCGCTTGTTGCAAGCTGAATCTTTTTCCTCAGAAATCCGACAGTTAAAGAAAAATCAAAAAATCAGTAATAGTCATGTCATTTCCCTTAATCCCTTCTTAGATTCAAACGCCTTAATTAGGGTCGGGGGTAGACTGAGAAATGTTTCAACCATGCCTTTCAATAAAAAATGTCCTATTCTACTGCCAAAGCATCATGTAACTGATTTGATAATAAAAGAAACGCATGAACACTTATTGCACGCAGGTCAATTAGGTACGCTGGCACAAATAAGATTGAACTATTGGCCTGTATCCGGGCGTAGTCAAGTCCGTAAAGTTTTACACAAGTGTATTAATTGTTTCAAAGTCAATCCTAAGCCTTACACCCAAATTATGGGGAATTTACCCGAAGAACGGTTAATGTCAGCCCGCCCATTTTGTAATGTAGGAGTGGATTTCGGAGGCCCTATATTCATTAAAGAGGGAAGAGGTAGAGGAAAAAGAACTGTCAAATCGTACATCTGCCTTTTCGTTTGCTTATGTACCAAGGCAATCCATCTCGAATTAGTAGGTGACCTCACGACCGATGCATTTTTTAACGCTTTAAAACGACTTATTTCTCGCCGTGGTAACATTTCATATATCATTAGTGACAATGCCACGAATTTCGTAGGTACTAGGCGTGAGCTAAAGGAATTGTTATTAGGTAAAGAATTTCAAAATAAAGTAAAACAAGAAAATATTACGTGGAAATTTATCCCTCCGCGTGCGCCCAATTTTGGTGGTTTGTGGGAAGCGGGGATTAAATCCGTAAAAACTCACATTAAGCGCGTTATCGGGGAAAACCATCTGACGTACGAGGAAATGTATACGCTCTTGGTCAGGATTGAGGCTGTCTTGAATTCTCGTCCCTTGACGCCGCTGTCCAGCGACGTTACTGATTTGGCCGCCCTGACTCCGGGCCATTTTCTCGTTGGCCATCCATTGACAGCTCCAGTAGAAAGGGACCACACTACCATTCCTCACAACAGGCTCTCCCGTTGGCAATTAATTGAATCCTGTCGCCAACATTTTTGGAAGCGTTGGTCCGCGGAGTACCTGACGACGCTGCAAGGGAGATCCAGGTGGCAGACCGTCTCAAAAATCGTGCCCGACGTCGGAACTCTGGTACTGATCAAAGAGGACAACCTGCCCCCGCTTCAGTGGCAGTTAGGGAGAATAGTGCAAGTGCATCCCGGTAAAGACGATCTCGTTCGGGTAGTGTCTGTGCAGTGTCGAAATGGGATCATAAAGCGAGCCATTTCAAAAATATGCCCCCTACCGGTCGACAATGAGAGTGCTAATTCAGAAACAATATGTCCATCCAGTGTTTAAGTATTGGACTAGCGCTGCTTAAGTGAATTCTTAGGTTTACTCTGTAAATAAGTCCGTTCTCATATTAATTCTTCTTCTGGTTTACTGCTAACTCACTACATGCACAGTTTTGTAAATAAAGTTTGTCCACTCGTATTGTACCTGATAATGTGTTGTAAATCTCTTTCAGGTGGCTTACATGTAATGTAATATTCATTGTAATATTCTATAATTTGGTATTAAAACAATGTAATTGTTTCAAGGCGGGGGGTATGTTAGTGCCTCTGGCGGGAACCTGTCTCACCCCTCCCCACCCGTAAGGGTGGGAGCCAGAGCCACCCCCACCTTGGAACACAGGGTAGCATTCATTCTTAAATCTCAACTGATTCATTCGCAATTCACAATTCGTAACTAACAGTCATCTCTCTCGACCGCACGGTCATATACTGTTCTATTCTTGTTATTCTTAGTTATCATAACACTTGTTACTAGCAATATACACTTATTTTACTGTTCGCTGGTCTTATTCATTTATACAATTTTACAATTTTCCATAATAATAGCCGGTTAAAGTGACATAAAATTAAAATAATTAAATAAAAACTACCAACAACCTACACCAACGAAACTACCGTTATCACCAAATCAGGTTCAAATTAATGATAATGTTACCGGTACTTATTTTAATAAGTAGTTTTGCGATTAGGAAAGTGTATAGAACGAACATGTGACTCTGAAAATATAACTTGTTCCTATACCCGGCACCGTCTAACAATCAAACATCGTACATTAAAGCAAAAAAAAAATCAAAATCCATACCTCGTTCGACTTGTCGACTTAAAAAAAAGGATACATGTCAAGTCTAAATTGAACCCATCCTGCTTGTACCGGTTCCTCCTCTTGCTGACCAACCCCCTTATGGGATTGGTGATGTTCATGTTAGGGAACGAAGTGGCCATATTCGTCGAATACGGCCTGTTGTAATTGTTGACGTGATTTTGAACAGGCAGATGCCCGTTCAAATTGTTCGAACTCGTCGGTTCATGTGCCGCATGAAGGGGTGTAACAACCGAATGCAGTTGGCCACATATTTTCGACGATTTATCTGCGAGAAAGAAAACAAACGATAAAAACGCCGACATTCACGCACATGCACAACGCCAAAAATGAATAGTCGAGATTTTTTGAAGCCGCTACGTGCCTTGGCAGGCCACCAAAAATGCAATACTTCTTTGCTATCGGTTGCAGATCTAATCTTAAGTACGGCCCTCCTCCCCCACCGAATGGGACTTGTCTTTATCTTATCATCTTTTGTAATTTATTATCCTTGTGTCAATCTTGGTTACTTTACGATTCCTACCTAGTTCGCTAATGATCGCATGATGCAATTTCTGGAGGGACGGTTCTGGTTTCTTTGTGCGAGGCGACGAGTATGATTGAGTTGCACAACGTTAATTTATCGTTTATTGAAGAGAAAAAAGGAATTATGTTCTGGGTAAATATTTGAACATGATACGTGACCGTTGGCATGTCATTTTTAGCAGAACTTATTACCGATTCTGCAAAAATTCCACGTGCTGGATCAATACAGGTGAATTACGGAAAATGGGATAAACGGTAGTCATACGGAAAACACGTGAAAATCACTTTGTTTTTGTTTTATCTGATGCAGAACGCAGACTGATCGGACGAAAGACAAAAATCACTACATCTAAACATGCAATGATAATGTAATATACGATCAATAACGCCTTTATTACCACGTAAAATATAGCACACTTCCAAATTCGTGGATAACACTAAAGAAATTATCATCATCCAGGAGCGTAATCAGCACCCAACAATCATTTTTGGGAAAATTTACGATTTAAAAATCGCGGTAATTCAACTCTGATCGACTGATATCACTCCGACTTTAATCGGTTGACGTACAGTTCAATTTTTATCTCATTCACATATCTACTAAATTAAGAATAATTGTTAACGAGCTTAGATACTACACTTCGATATCTCGATGACTGTATTTTCCATAAAGGATCAAGTGGATTACGACAAGACTTTACGAGATCGCTTGGACCGAATGTACCCATTAAACACTAAAAAACTGGCTATTTTTTAACTTTGATTGGAACAACTTTCTCGCATTGAATTCTAAATTTAAACGTAAATTTAAACAAATTTTTGTAATTTTCCTGTATATTTAGGATCAAAAATCGAGGCAGACTCATAAACCGTAAATATAGAAGTATATTATTTTATAAAATTTAGATGGCATTTGTTATGCAACAAAAATTAATTTCATAATCTTACGCAATTTATTAATGATGACTGATGAGTGATGACTAGCGTCCACAACACGACCTAGCACGATTGAAAATAAACGAGCACTCAAAGATCACCGACTAAATATGGAAAAACGGGTAATTTCATAAATCGTAGTCGCATTTTAGTATTTCAGAAACCATGCTCGTGCAAAGAATAAATATAATTTTGATGTACAGATAACAGATGCTATGCACAAAGGTACTGAATCGTTCTAAATTTAGTTTAACGTTTTTTGTTTAACATGTTTACATGACAACCGTGTATGTACTCACGTTAAATGCAATCGTACGAGACAGAGACAACGTAAAAGGTTGTTAATCTTCGAACTAATTAGTCACAAATATCCTTTATCCTTTGACGTGACGTGATATATCTATTTAATCACACCTACTTTTTGAACCAATTGTGTTCCAACAAAAAAGCCAAATGGAAAAATTAATTTTATTTAATCTTATCGCTGTGCTTAGTTGAGGAAGCAAATGTATTGTTAATAAAGTGATATCCACTTTTAGTTTTAAATGATGACAGTTTTATCAAATTTTAATCGAGGGTTTAATTTTTTGGATTTTTCTTTCTAGTTGAATGTGGAAGTTTTTCACAGTACAGTCACATGTTTAGTTAAAAAACAAGTACCTATATACAGCATTGTAGGGCTAAATATCTTGATTGTTAAAATTAGTTCAAAATTGAAAAATCAAATAAATTTTCTAGGAAGATTTCAATATTTTTTAATTTACCACCAGAGTAATTCCTGGTCTCTAAATTAGATTTTTGCGTACACCAAACTGGTTTTATGGGCGTCAGTTTTATTTTGGAGGTTAATTAAGACTAATTATATCATATTTTTGAAAATTTTAAGATTAAATCGAATTATTTTTTCAATCAACTCTCAATTTATGGTTATATTTTTATTTGAAGATATGATTTTTTTTAATAATTTTTGCGTGACGTCATTAAATTACGAGAAGGGATTAGAACGGGTCATAATGTATTATTATTTTTTAAGATATTTTCTGCAAGGACAAGTAATATCGGGTTTCGGTCATTTATTCATTCTCAACCTATCTCAATTTACTGTCTTAGCAAAATTTCCAAGTCGAATATACAGGTGTTCCCAAAAAGATGCAAAAGCTGGATGAAGAATTAACTTCGTAATTCGTAATGTTTTAACGAAAATTTAAGTGACTGACTAAAATTCCGATCAAAATTGTCAAAAATAACATCTGTGAATAGGGAAGAATGACGTATAGTTCATTAAAACAAATCTAAAACAAATCAGAATGATGAGGTTAATTCTTCAACTTTGAAGTTCAATATTTTCAAAAATTTGGTCCCGGGGTTTTTTTAACCGCTTCTTGCGATATCACCAAACCCTTCTTGATAACGTCCCATCGGACTTATGCGTCATTTTTGAATACCTGTATACAATTTGAACGTAGAAACTGTTTTTTTTTTGGACGAGTCTTATACCGGGATAAAACTTTTGGTTAATATTTCTCTCACTCATGACTAGAGAGCGGATTTCTGTCGGGCTAGACAAGGCCAAACTCGGTACGGCTCGTACGGGATGGGAATTTATTGCAGTTACCGGCTGCACTTCGTTTATTTGAGATTAGAATAACGCTGCTTCGTTGCACTCTGCTGTTAATTCCAGTTCTCATTTACTTAGCCGTTTGATTAATAAATCGTTATTTGTATTTATGGAATCAAGTGAGAATTAAATTCAGTGATTACCTATCACCCGCTACTGAGTCCCGGCGATGCAGCGCGTCCCCACCTATATCGTGACGTAGCCCGACAGAAATCCGCTGTCTACTCATGACCATCTTTAACATTTCAGTTAGAATGTACAAAGACTTGGTTGCGTTGTTTTTGTAATAATTTGATAAAATTATTACAAAATAAATAATGAATAAATTAGATGTATCAAAAATTGCCAAAGTTTTCAAAACCCTACATTTAAAATGTTCGCAGTTAATTTTAGGTCCCCTGGTGTTTTATTTTCGAATAAATTCAAAGGAATCTAGTGTTTAGTTGCTGGATGCACTTGAAAAAATCTTTCCAGCTTTTAGTGTTTTATTTTTTATGAATTTTAAAATGTCTTGAGTTCAGCGCTGCTTGTTTTTTTTTTAATTTAATAGTGTATTATTTTGGCAGCCCATGAAGAATTTTTTTGTAAATTATTGAAAACAATTTTGGAGGACTTTGGTTTTTATTTTTGGAAAATTCTGAATTCACTTGTTTTTGAGTTAATTTTGGAACGCCGTTTTTTTTTGAAAAATTTAAAACAATCTAGGTATTCTTACTTGGAATGAATTTGAAAGTGTTTTGGAGCCTCTAGTGTCTTTTCTTATAATAATTTAATAAAATTTCTTAGAGGATACGTCATTTGCTAAAATGAGTCTTATCTTAGCAGGCACTAGCCCCAGCCACCCGCTCTCTTATTTTCTTAGAAAATATGTCATTTGCCAAAATCAGTCGCAACAGGTACCAGCCCCACCCACCCGCTTTCTCTTTTCTTAGAGTGTATCTCATTTGTCAAAATTGGTGTTATTTTAGCAGGTACTAGCCCCGCCCACCCGCCCTTTCTTTTCTTAGAGTGTATCTCATTTGCCAAAATTAGTGTTATCTTAGCAAGTACTAACCCCGCCCACCCACCCTCTCTTTTCTTAGAGGCTATGTTATTTGCCAAAATCAGTTTTATCTTAGCAGCTGCCATTTCGATTGAAACACCATCTGTTGATTTTGCTTAAAATTTAGCAATTGGTAACAGCTTTCGGTTGATTGACAACGGCTTTTAGTTAGAAAATTGTCTGAATATGAACGTTGCCAAATTTACGTTCAACAAGTGGTGTTTCAATAGAAATGGCAAAGACTACAAGATGGAAGTAATGTCTTTGCCATTTCTATTGAAACACCACTTGTTCGTAAATTTGACAACGTTCATATTCAGACAATTTTCTAACTAAAAGCCGTTGTCAATCAACCGAAAACTATTAGCAATTGCTAAATTTTAGGCAAAATCAACAGGTGGTGTTTCAATAGAAATGGCAAAGACTATATTGACGCATTAGGAGCGTGCAGTGTTGCCGATTTTACTTTTATAAAATTACGTTCGTTTTCGTAATCTACATCATAAAGAAAGTTTTTATTATTTTTTTGGGACTCTCGAAACCCCTATCATATTTTTTGCTTATAAAAAGACTCTAGGAAAAAGTTAAACTTAGCCCCGCCCACCCACCCGTTCTCTCATTTTTTTCTTTTAAAATAAGGAATAAATTTTATAGCAAATATTTAGTACAAAAAAAAAGAAAAAAAACTCTTAGCGCGTTTTTTCTTTTTTTAACAGACTAGCTCCGCCCACCCAGCCACCCTGCCTCCATTTCAGTGATTTATTTTACCTGGTTTGAATGAAAGCTGGGTCTTATACTCAACAGAAATAGAATCGTCAATGAGAAAAACGTGAGTGGGCGAAGCTAGTACTTGCTAGGATAAGACTGATTTTGGTAAATGACATCTCATAAGTCATAAGTAAAGTAAGAGGTGGGTGGGTAGGGCTAGTATTCGCTAAGATAAGACTGATTGTAGCAAATGGCATATCTTCTAAGAAAACGCAGGGCGGGTGGGCGGGGCTAGTACTTGTTAAGATAAGATTGATTGTGGCAAATGACGTATCTTCTAAGAAAATAAAGGGTGTAGGGGCGGGACTAAAACTTGCTAAGATAAGACTGAACAATATTAAGTGTAGTGAGTGAAACGAAGAGCGGGTGGGTGGGTGGG